GAGTTCCCAGGATGTGCAGAGAAGCCCTGTCTAGAAAAACTGAAAAAATAAAAACAAAAACAAGAGTACAGTACAGAGGGTTGTTTGTGGGGCTGGGCTGTGCGTTAGCGGCCCTCTGTGGCAGTGACCAAACATGGAGCCAAAGCAATGTGAGGAAGGGGAGTTTACCCTGACTGACATGGTTTTATGTGAAGCCCGCCAGGAACAGCGTAGAAGAAATAGTGGCAGGAGTGACTTCACAGCTGGGTTCGCAGCACGACGAGGCGGCTGGGTCACATCATGTCATCAGCCAGGAGCAAGGGACTCACCAGGAAATGAAATAGAGCCAAGCTGCAAGCCTCATGCCCACACTCCCTCAACCTCTAGTTAGGATCCACATCCTAAGGTTCCAAACCTCCTCCCCCAAATAAAGCCACCAGCTGGGCACAAAGTGTTCAAGCATGTGAGCCTTTGGAGGGTGTTTTCTGTAAGAACCATGACAGGATGGAAGGAAAGTCTTCAGTACTGGGCCCTATTTCAGTGAAGAATTGACTCAAGCCGTGCAACTCACATTCCTGTTGACATTTTAAGGCTGTGAGAAATGTTCTTTCCTTTGAAAAATTGCCAGTTTCATAACATTTAACATTCAAATAAAGATAGGTAATATACACTGTACGACAATAAGCTTTTTTCTGAAAACACTCCTGGAATCCAATATCTCTTCAAATAACTTATTGAAGATTCATGTTCACACTGAGAACTCCAAAAATAAATTGCCACAGAGGAGAAAGATGATTGAGTAGTAACTGGGATTGATATGTAAAATAAGATTGTTTCTAACTTAAATAAAAAAAGAAGATTGAGTAGTGCTCCCTAAATAAATTTAGGACTGTGAGTAACTGGGTGGGGCTTTGCCTCTTACTTGCTGGAGTCCTGGAGGTGGGAATCTACCTCTCATTCCCGTCAGAACCAATGTTCCTTTACTCATGCTGCCTTATTCTCTCGAGTACCTTGGCCTGAAACACCCAACTGAGACTACTGAATCAGAACCACCGTTCAGGAGGCCCTGAAGGTTGCAGCGAGCTGGAATGTACCAGAAGACATCTCGTCATGTCTGCTTGCACGTCCCCTATTGGAACTGAGGGGAAAGATGTTGTTCCAAGTGGAATGAGAATCAGACTGGATGTAATGTAGCACGCGCGCACACACACACACACACACACACACACACACACACACACACAAATGCCTCCCTGGGAAGTTGGACACTGATGTAGAAACAGCTTTGATATATATGTTGAACTTGTTGTGTCTTTTCTGATAGCTTTCTTTTTTAATTTTACCTTTTATTTTACTCTCCACCAAAGTTTTTACTTTGGAGACTTTGGAAAGTATTTAAAAACTTTCAAAGACTAACACATAAATGACTCGTAGTATCCTGTCAGATTTATTGATTCATCTTTTGAAACATTTTCTTTTCTGGTTCCTTCCCTTTCTCCATCTTCTTTTCTCTTCTTCCATCACCTCTAGACACACAAATACCCACATGCACACACACACACACACACACACACGCATGCACACACACATGCACACATACTCACACACACATGCACACACACACACACACACACATACACTCCTTTTCCTTGACTTACTTGAAGACAGCATGGTATCTTGTCCTCTGTCAAGCAGAAGATGGAAAAGGATTTGACACATGTGTGCTACGCTGGGGGAGGAGACCTGGGAGAAGAAAAATTGTGGGGGACGGTACAGTTCAGCTTTGAATGTCTGTTAAAGGCTCAGGTGGTGAAGACATAACTGGTGGTGGCTTCTGAAGCCTTTAGGCTGTAGGCCACTGGGGGGAGGGGCTGTTCTTTGAGGGGACCGCAGCAGCCCAGGTTCCTCCTCGTCCCTGCTTTCCCGTCTCAGCGAGAAGAAGTTGCAAGCCTTCGTTGCTCTCCAAGCACATCCCCACATCTTTACAGAGCCTGTGTGCAGTGTGATGGCTTCTAGAACCTTCAGACTGAGAGCCAAAACAACCCTCTTTGTGAATGGACTCAGCCTCAGGTGTTCGCTCCAGGTCATGGAGAGCTGGCTGGCAGAGCAAAGCCGAGAGGAAATGGCAGAGAGATCGCTGGCAAGTGAGGGAGTAGGAAAAGCTGGGTCAGGATGCTGGGAGAAGAGAGCTTCCCCAGGCCAGCCTTGGACTGCTGAGTCCCGGGGTTTTCATCCTCCCCGTGGTCATATCACATGGCGATGGTTATCAATTACTGCATGAGGTCAAAGGGCCCTGAGGCATGCACAGAGGAACTGAGCAAAGTGGGAAGGGAACAGGAAAAGCCAGCCGTAGAGGGGCCTGATGGGGAAGTCCTGTGTGTATGTCAATAAAGCACTTTTGGCCAATGGGGAAGCAAGATAGGTGTTACTGGGAGTCCAGGAGGATTCTGGGAAAGAGAGACACAGGCAGAGACGATGTAGGCCTGCCAGAGGAGTAAGAGGTCTGGACCCTTTTCTCCAATAAGAGAAATACCTAGATTAATAATTATGGGTTAAATGCTTAAGTGAGAGCTAGCCAGTAAGAAACCAAGCAAACGGCCAACAGCTTCATAATTAATATAGCCTCCTGCGTGTTATTTGGGGACTGCAACTGTGGCAGAGCCCAGGCAGCTGGTGGAGGAGGAAAAGCCAAAGTGACAGGCAAGGAAAAATGTACACTCTACAGGGGCCGTGTTGTTACGCAGCCTGGAGTGGCTGAGGCCTCACTGTGGCGTCCTTTGGGAGAGAGGGAGCTGGATGATGGGTGGAGGATGGAGTTTTATAGAGAGGCCATAGCAGTCACAATGGCGTAACGCATGTAGGGACAGAAGGGAGGCCGTGTGACTGGAGCAGAATGAGCCGGAACGGCCACAGAGGTCCCACCTGGTCGTACTGAGCAAGGACCCAGCTGATGCAGGACTTTGGGGCAGGCGACTGTGTTGCCTTTCCTGCAGGTGACTTAGGCAATGACTGGAAAGGCCTGATCATAGGACCGACGCCGTAAGGCTTGGACAAGCTGTTTCTTTTATTCTTTGTTCGGTTTAGAATAAATGACTAGAAGAAATGGAAAGAGTGACGGGGAGATGGACGGGGGAGTTACTCTGACCGTCCATGCGAAAGAGAGAAGAGAGAGTGATTTAGATCAGGGTGAATCTGATGGCGACGGTGAAAAATGACCCTGTTCTGGACCAACGTTCAGAAGAGCTCAGGGAGCTTCTGAGGGGCCCACGGCTTATGTGACAACTGATGTGTTTTTGTTTCTGTTATGATGACAAGTATCTTTCCTAGCTCAGATGCGCCACACACACACACACACACACACACACACACACACACAGCAGTGCCCCTGTCCTGTAACAAGCTGTGGGGTGGCATGCACTTGTGTGTGTCTGAGCGTGAGTATGTATGCCAGGCGCATGCAATGCCTGAGGTTGCCAGAAGAGGGAGTGAGATCCCCTGGAGCTGGAGTGATCCGCTGGACCTGGGTGCTGGGACCCAAACCCGGGTCCTTTGAGAGAGCAGTAAGCGTTCTTAACCACCAAGCTGTCTCTCCAGTCTCGTTTTTGTTTTTAATTTTGTTGCATTTATTTGTTGATGTGTGTGTGTGTGGAGAGGAGCCCATTTGCCACAGCGCATGTGGATGTCAGTGGACAATACACTGATGTTTACTCTCTCCTTTCACCACCTGGGGTCCCAGAGACCTGAACTCAGTCAGCCAAACTTGCCAGCCAAGTGCCTTTGCCTGATGAACAGTCCCCCGGACATGTAAATCTTATTTTTTAAAATGAGACGGTACTCTATATGACGATGTCTAAATACAAAATTTAGAGAAATTACATAGTATCTTCTGGTATCAGTGGAAATTACTGATACAAAAAAAATCCACAATAGGTTACTACATATGGTCAAAATATTTTCAAGTACAAATTTCAAAGGACTTTAAGTATGTGATTAATTCAGTTTCTTCAAGTACAACACTAATAAGCACACAGCCCGATTATAAAATCATTACTCTGTGTGCCTGATGATCCGGTAATGTTTGCAGCGGATTTTTGATGAAGTGTGAGGTTCTAGGATGCTCCACGCAGCAAACAGCACGGGGAGAGACGGGGCTGCTCCCTGTGAAAGTGAGAGCATGCCTGGACCTGAAGGCCTGCACAGCACAAAGCATTCTGGTGCCGGACACCTGCCACCCCGCAGAGGGCTGTACCTGACACAGACTAGGCACAGCCAAACAAACAGAAGGCAAGCTACCTGCCATCCACGCACCCGACTGTAACTGGCCACTGAAGTCGACATGATGTTCTCATTTTACGCAGTCACTTATGCTCTCCTTGAAGATGCTTTGGATACAACATTAAATAGCAAAATAATTTGGTGCAGACTAAAGCACCGGTTGGAACCCTGGAGTCTGGAATAAATGCAGCGTTTGGTTGTCTGTCGGTATTTAAATGAGGCGTGACATACGGTTGTCTGTGGTCTTGGAAGTAGACCCTGAAAGTAGACCCTGATTTTATCACTTTAAGCACAGGAGCGCACATGCTTTGCATGGAATGCATTCTATCTATCATTTTGAACATAAGTCATGCTTCTAGCGTTTTGAACATTTCCCAGTTCGGGGCTTTGTACAGGATGTGCCGGCACCCTCCCACCTCGCTATGTGTGGTTAAAATCCAGGGAGATCGTTGTAGCCTCACGGTCACCACGTCTTGGCCACTATTTCAAACGCCCTTGCTTCCTGAGCATTGCTCAGAATCACCCGGGATCCTGGGATGAAAGTGTACTCCGTATGTGAAATCACCGGGTGACTGTGTGCAGGGGAGACGATGACGTCAAATAAACACATCCCATGGGGGTTGTCCTGTATGCGGAGAATATGTTTCTCCTATTGGTTGATGAATAAAGCTGTTTCGCCAACGGGCAGGCAGGATGTAGCCAGGCAGGGAGTATAGGCGGGGCTATCAGACAAGGAGAATTCTGGGAAGAGAAATGCGGAGAGTGAGTCTTGGGAGAGACGCCATGGTGCAACTGGGAAGGTAGGATGCATTCCTCGGTAAGTTAAGGCCGGGTGGAAACACATAGATTAGCAGTTGCGGGTAAGCAATTAAGAGAGAGCTAGCCAGTAAGAAGCCTAAGCTATTGGCCGAACAGTTTGTAATTAATATAAGCTTCAGTGTGTTCATGTGGGACTAATCTGCTGTAGGACCTGGTGGGACAGAAAGTCCATCGTCAGACATCCTCTCCTGACTTAGTGCTAAGAGCGGATCCTTTATGCTGTTCTAGACAGTAGACATGTGACCAGCAGAGCCACTCCTTCAGAAGAGCCCATCTCTGTCCTTCCTCTGTTGCTATAGAACCCAAGGCATCGAACACTTAGGATGTGTTAAAGTGAATGGCACCCCATGAAGAGTAAGCAGGTGGGTGGATGCTACTGACTCCTCGGTTCTCCAAGGGGTATTCCTAACCTAGTGTCACTCCCATTACTCCAGTACTAAACTCTCTTCTATCTATGATGACTATTTTTCTGGGCTGCCTAGATTTGGTGACAGACATTGAAGACACGTGGGCCCTCAGCTAGTCGTTCCATTTTGTGAATGTAGGGCTTTTATGAGGTAAGCCTTTCTGGCAGAAGTAGGCCAATAAGGTAAGGTGTATTAAGGCCATCCCCAACACTGGCTACTCCCTATTCTCTCTCTGCTTCCTACTCTATCAGGATATGAGAAGTCCCTTGTCCATGTTCCTGCTCCCATAGACAGAATTATTCCCATGTGCCTTTCCTGCCACGAAGGACACATGTCCTTCTAAAGCCATGGCCAAACACACTCTTCATTCTTAAGTTGTTCTCTCTGGACGTTGGTCACAGTGACACAGCAATCTATAACATATGAGCAAAAACGTCAACTAGGCAGTTGGATAAGGAGGTCTAGAACTCAGAAGCAAAAACCATGATAATGATGAATGATGGAGATTAGAATTAAAGACGCTTTGCAAGAACGTCCAAACAGACAAACAAGGTTTCTGGGCACAGTGTAGCCACAAGGAATAAGAGATGGCCTGAGGGAGTGAGCCATACCTGGTTAACAGGAGGGAGAGCCGAGATAGTGTGTTTTCCCATTTTTGTTTGTTTAGTCCTTAAAGACGGCACATGTATAAAATTTAAAAATCTGTTTACAGATAGAAACTTGAAAAGAGAAAGGATGACAACACTGGGTCTACCAGCGCTCCAGAACTCACAGATAGCTGCTGCCAATCAACAGGAATGCTGCCATGAGCTTTGGTCAAGAATGGAAAATACTGCTCTATGTTATCCGGCCCCATCATCTGGAATGTGCCTCCCCTTTGTTTTATGTCTCTGTGTAAATAAACCCTGCCCATCCTTTAAGGCCTGATTCAAGCTAACTCTCTGTCTTATGGCTTTTCTCACTGCCGCTACCAAGTGCTTGAGGAAACACCTTACGGAATGAATGCAAGGGGCGATTTGGACTTAGACATTAGGCGTGCAGTCCCTCATGCAGAGAAATCACAATGTTAGGCACATGAGTCAACTGGTCATGTTGTTTCTGCAATCAAGAAGTAGAAAGAGATGAATGATGGTTTCATTTCTTCTCATATTTATCCAATTCACTTTCTCCTATTTATCTAGCCCAAGACTCCACCTCAGGAGTTGGTGTCATTCATTTTCAGGGTGAGCCTTTCCTGTTGACCCTGGAAGCACCCTCATGAGTATAAGTGTTTCCATGCTTGTTTGATGTCAAGTTGACAATGAAGGTGATCCAACAATGTCATCTCCATTTCTTCTCTAATGTCTACTACCTTGTTTTATTGTTTTCGTTTAATAGTTTCATATTATTTCTTTTGAATAACTATTTGCTTCTGTTCTTTACCTACTGTATTAATGACTTTTCTGCAGCTGTGATAAAGCATCATGACCAGAAAATAGCTTAAAGAATAAAGTGTATTTTTGTTTATAGTTCCACATCAGTAGGAGAGGGATGAGAGCAGGCAGCTAGATCTGCAAGCTTAGAGACCACACCTCAGTCACAGAGAGGAAGCTGAGAGCCTGAATTGAACTGAGGCAAGGCTGTAAACCTTCATATCCTGCCCCACCCCAGGAAGACTCCAGATCCTAAAGGTTCCAAACCTTCCCACATAGTGTCATCAACTTGGAAACAAATATTCAAATATATGAGCCGATGTATGACATTCCTCACTCCAACCACCATAGCTCACTGTAGCTATTTTCCAGTTTCTAGAGGGAAGTGATTGATTTTAATCTCCATTCTTTTCCTTTAGGGCAAAGATACATAACAGATAGTAAGGAACATTTCATAAGTAATTGAACGGGCAGAAATTTTTATCTTGAAACAAGAAGTGTTCATGTGCATGATGTGGAATCTTTCTTCAATGCAAGCAATACCTTTGGTCCCTGTTCGACCTACTCGTAAGACTCCTTTGGCTACATTCCTACCAAGACTTTTTATTGAGGATTTTCTTGAGCCGATGCCCATAAAAGCCAATGAGTTTCACCCACGCTATTTTCCTTTCTTTAAAATAAAAGGTCTTATTTTTTATTGGGGTGTCCAACCTAGCTGCATTCCAAATGCTTTGAAATGATGATAATTAGCATTTAAATAGAACCTCACCTGTTCAGGAGGTATGGCCATGCTTATTACCTAATGGGATGGTCACACTATTATCTTCCACTGGAAAAAAAAGTCTTCAAATATAATACGCTATGACATATGAAGATCACAAAAGCCCCGGGGGTGATAGAATCACAGATGGTTTGCATTTGCCAGAAGCTTCAATTTTGTGGGCAGCAACTTGTACTTTCCCAGCCCTAAAACTTAGCATGCAATGTACAACGCATGAGACAGAAATCCCTTCCACAATAACTGCCATTTGTCAAGGAGAAAAATCTTTTCTTTTCAGAAGTGTCTTAATCGCCACAGGACGGGCATGAACACTAAAGAGAGGCAGGCTGTTTGAAACTCGGTGAGATCATTCAAAGCCAATCTCAGGTGGTGCTCGCCCATAATACACTCTTGATTTTTCTGAGAGCACCATAAGAGAACAGTTAGACCTTCAAAGAATAAATCTCAATTCAAGGATCCCCGTTGGCTCCTGACAGCTAGCTCATCATCTTCCCATTACACCACTGTATCTTGAAGGGATGCCAGGATTTTCCCTTCCACCCTCTGCATAGATGCTAAGTTCACATTTCTAGTCTTCCATGGCTTAATTGTGCTGTCGGCGAGGTCATAGGGAAATAGCAGATGAGGGCTGAGGCAAGGATGATAAAGGAATTATGGTACGACCTGAGGTATCTTAAGCTTAACGTCTTTTAGTTCTGCTAAAAAATTGAATATGCTTTATTTCTCAAGAGGCAAGACTTTATTTTCTCGTCCACATTTCTAGATTCACATAGAGAGAACATGAAGTACTAGAGGGAGTTGTGGGCTGAGGGCAGTATGGGTTCTCAACTCAGTTTACCACTAGCTAGTTGGTTAATTCATGGGGGAATTTACAAACCTCCCTGGGAAAGAGGCCAGCTCTACAGTGTCAAAACAAGAAATGGAGTGCTAATCATCACTTAAGTTTGATATTTTGATGTCAGATTCTACAGGTGGATATACAAAATTACAAAGTAGAAAGCCCCTTTATTGATGTGATTAGGAACCTGGGGTTTATATTTTGGCAGAATTAACTCCTATGGAATCTTGCTACTCAGTTCATCAGTAAAGCGTTATCTGAAACAAATCTGTTTTCTTGTTTATCCTTTTATAATTTCGTTTGTGTCTTATTATTTTTTTATTTTTAGATAGAGTGTTACTATGTAGCCAGGAGATCACTAGGTAAAACAGGCTTTCTTCCTGCCTTAGACTCTTGAGTTTTGAGATGAGGCACACCTCAAATGCTGTTTCGGCCCTAGGCCTTGGCATATTTAGGTCAGGGTCCCAGCATTTCTGAAAACAGTGTGTGTTTCTTAGCGTTTCCACGGGCACTGTCTGAATCAGTTGGAATCTGGAAAGTGTCTGCTTATGGATTTCACAGAGAGGTTACAAAATGTCCAAATACCAAGAAAAGAACAATTTTAAAGAATTTTTTTAAAAAGTATCTGAATAAAAACAACATGTATTTAGATGAGAAATACGTACAAAGTCAGTCAGAAACAGGACGTGAAATGATCAATATAAGTTATAGTAGTCAAGCATTATGTATGGAACTTCAAGAATGACTCAAACAATAATCATTTTGCATGCTTAAAAAAGATGATTTGGGAAGCATGGTTACACAGATCCAACTGAGGAGCCTGTCATGTGGAATGCAAACACACAGGTGACTCCTTGTCACCGGAGTGAGGAGCTGACCTATCTTTAGTCAACCTGGGCTTCTAACAGTGATGAGCGTTTGGGTGTATGTGTGAAGGCATGCATGTACCTTTGGTGTACACATGTGCATAGAAAGTGTTTGCATATAGGGCCAGAAGTCAGTATTTTGTTCTACAGGAATCGTGCACTTTATATTTTGAGGCAGGGTCTATGGGATTGGGGATAACCAATTAGCTGGGGTAGCTGGACAGTCCGCCACAAGTGTCTACCTGTCTCCCTACCCTTGCATTATAACCCTGCACCATTACATCTGGTCTTCATGCTTGAAAGGCAGGCAGTTTATCAATTAAGGTATCTCCATAGTCCCAACGGTTGCTTTTCTTTAGCGTTTACCCAAGTCCTGCAGCAATTAAGAGTCACTGTGAACTGACTCCTTCGTGATCTTGAACAACTAATCTGAATTTCTCTTGCCTTACTTTCTACACACATGAACCCGTGGTGACCTAACGTCTTAGCTGTGACCTCTTTCTGTTCAAATTGGTGACAAAGGGTCATTCCAGTCTTAGAAGGCCACTGGGAAGGGTGGATGCCTCACGGCAAAGTGTATGAGGTGCAAACTCTGTCATCGCAGTCTTATTTGCTGGAGCAGCTCTCCGGCAGCAGAGGCAAAATGGAGAGGTTCGTGGGCCTTTCTTCCAAACACAAGGTCAAAACACACCTTATGAAGGAAGGCTCGCCATCAGTCATCAAGGTGAATGCTGTAGTGTGGATGTCAAGCGTGCACTCTGGAGCTTTTGGGCAGAGCGCATCTCAGAAGGGTTTAACATCCTGGTTGTTGGCTTGTGACTCACTTGTATGATTGATGATCAATAGGGAGCGCACTTCAAATGAGTATTCTCTGTGGTGTGTGTGTGTGTGTGTGTGTGTTATCCATGTGTCAGGTAACATATGGGTTGCCTAGAGAAAATGTATAAGTGGGGAAATCACAACAAAAACTGGATGAAACCAAGACAGAGAGCATTGTGGGAAGAAAACTAATCTTATTGCATATCTGTCACACATATGGCATTAAGGAAGGTGGCTTAGAAATATATCCTTATTTGTTTTTCACAGGAGTTTGCTTTATAGAAAGAGAAACAATAAATAAAATAGAATGCCCTGATCTATTTCTAGGGATAATGGCACAAGTGAGTTCTAACTTTCGAAATAGAGATAAGGCTCCATCTATAAGGCAGCCTCTACTTGCAAACTGGCGTGTGTTTGGCATTCTACCTTCAACGTGCTGCACGAAACTCCTGTAACTTTATGACACAACTCAAGGGTGGCCAGTTTTTATGATGTATGATATGATCACATCTAACCACTGTATGGATGTACCTGTGTGCATATGTATATAAATATGCACATACATATCTATGTATATGTATGAAATAATCTTTAATTTTTGAGAAGTTGAGAGTTTTGTAGGAGTCTAGATATTTCTGAAGGAAAGAGGGCCATGAACAAGGGTTGTGGTTTTGCAACAAGCAGTATCTAAAGAAATTACTCAAATTCGTGAATTTCATCTGTGGGGACAGGGACTTTCTTGAAGCGGAAATGGGACAAGCTCATGACGGGCATGGGCAAGTATGTCCATTGTCAGCAGAAGTTGGCGGCTGTTTTAACACCTTGTCACGTCTGCGCCTGTTCAGTCACCATAAGTGATGTCTCCTTACATTATATGAAGAAGGCCTACACGAGGCATGAGGGAAGGAGGCTGCCAGCCCGGCCCTTCTCCTTTCCGGCAGCCAGGCTTCGGGGGCTGCTACATGCTAGAGAACTCCGTCTCCTCGTGGATGACCCCCATCCTCAATGCTGGTTGGCTCTGAGTGCAGAGCACTTCCTGTGCGCTGCCATCCTGACTATTTCCCCCTGCCTTTGACACCACACGGTACAGGCTTTGGGTAAAGAGGCCTCTCCTCCCTAGAAATTGAAAGGATAGCACAGCAAAAGACAACTGCCTGTCAAAGAAGAAAGGACTTTGCCCCGCTGGATTGTCCTAAATTGGCATAAATTATGGCCTGTGCCTGTGAGGAGCCGCCCTCGCTATCGCTATTGCCGTTAGAAGATGGCGCTG